CCCCTTCCAGCGGCTCAGGCCACGCCCATCACCGGCAAGGCCCCCCCCATGTACTCCTCCCTTCCATGCACCAAGTCCCGCCCCTTCCGGACCGCCCCCTCCGCGCCTTCTGTGGTCGAGGTCCCGCCTCCCGCAGGCCCCGCCCCGGTCCCGCCCAGACCTGGGGCAGAGCGATGCTGAGCTGGCGCTGCAGAGAGTCCTTCTCATGGCCCAGCTCGCGCAGTCGCAACTGCGCCGTAGCCAGCCCGTCCTGCGCCTCGCGGAGCGTCTCCAGCAGGCGCTCGCGCTCCGTTAGCATCGTGACCATAAGGCGCTCCAGCTCGCCGCCCGCCTCGTCCGGGCCCAGGGCCGAGCCCCGCCGGCCATCCTCGCTGATGGTGGGCATCACCTCGCACATCATGGCGGCGGTGCTGGCCTGCGGGAGTGGGGAGGGAGCAGGGAACAGAGACCGGCCTTGTCGAGGCACTGGCAGAGAAACTGAGGCACGGCCACTGGGATACTCCATAGTGGAAACTGAGGTGGGGCAACCCAGGCATTGTATAGAAGAAACTGGGGTCCATCCGTTCTGACCATGGCGCAAGATAAACTGAAACCCATTGCTCTCAGGCAATCAGGCCCAGCTACGTGGGTGAGAGAATCTGGGGAAACCGAGGTCATACTCCATCAGGCACTGGCAGCAAATCTAAGACCGCTCTCGTCAGAGAAGCCAAAGCCAGGTGACCCATTGCCTCAGTCAATGTGGGAAAATCAGTCCACCTGTTCTGACCCTACTGGGAATACCCATGAGCCCACTGCGTGAGTGAGAAGACAAGCCCAGCTGAGAACCATGCCTTCAGGAGGTCAAAGAACTGGGGCCACAGAATTAGGTCAGTGGTACTAGTACAGGGTCACAGGGATGGCCCTCACCTATCCAGCCCAACTCCTGCCGCCAATTTCCCAGATATCGGGACCCCAGCTCCAGATCTCTAAAAAAAAATTCTTTCTCCTAGAAAGAATCTAAAAAACACTCCACTTGCTAGCCATCTCCCACAACCCAGGAGTCCAAGATCCAGCTCCCTCCTACCTCAAGTCACAGGAGGCTAGGTCCCCAACTCCCTTCTCTCCCCTAGACCCTGGAGTCCAAGCCTCCAGCCGCCTCTTCCCCAATCCTGGGGGTCAGACAGGGACACAAGAATCCGAGCTTTCCACCTCCATCCTCAGACCCAGAAATCCCGGCCTGCAGACCACTCCTCTGCCCCTACCCCCCGCCCAGAACCCAGGCGTCCAGGCCCCCAGGCCCCAGGAATCTGCCTGTATTAGCCGTGGGCGGAGATGAAGGGAGGTCTCCTGAGCTGCTCCCTCTACACACATCAGGTCAGACGGGTCCAGCTTGCCTGTTCGAAAGCAGGAGGGACTTTCACTCCATTCCCTCCTTTCTTTCTCTCCCTCCAGGCAGCGGCATAACCGGTTCTGACAGTGGATAGTTCCCAGCCCCACCCAGCATGCAGACTGTGTCCAAAACCTGGAACTGGGGTCTTGGAGTTCATTGAGAAGAGGAGGGGATGGAGGGCCCTGGAAACTGGGAGTGAAGGCAGCTAGATGCCTGTAGCCTTGGATCTTTGAAGAGGTGCCCCTAGGAATCTAGACACCAGTATGTCAGCACTTAGAGGCCAGATTTAAGACAATATTTATAAGGAGACAAGTCAAACCAAATGGTATCTAAACCCAGAACCTACTCGAGAGGTGCAACACAGGCTGTTTCCGAGAAGCCACTCTAGAACTTCCAATTCACTGAGAAGGAATAGAACTTAGCAAGGCTGGGTGTAGGATCTAGAAGGCCATTGGCATGAAGACAGTACAGAGTGCAGAAAGGACATATGTATCCACATGTACAGTGTGCTTGGGGTAATTCCTTACATAGGGCCAAGTAGAGGGGCATAGTCTAGAACCCAGGTCTGGAACCCGAACCAGTCAAAAGCAATCCAATAAATTAAAGAGTGGTCTGGGTCACCGAAGAACCCCAAACACAGAGGGGAGCATAATGATACCTAAAAACACACCTAATGCGATGTATGACGAACCTAGTCAGGAGACATCTAGAACTCAGAACCCATCAGGGAGGCAGGTGTAACAAAGAATATAGCAGGGGTCACACTCTCGGTGTTATCATGTGTCTAGATGACAGACAGAGGTGGAAGATAGACTCTAGAATTCAGAATATGCCCTGGGCATGGGGGAAAAAACCCTAGAAAGTCGCAAGGAGTTTGCCCGGAACTTACAAGTGCTTGGGGGAAGATTCAGAAGCATGCTGGGAATTGAGAATTTACTGGCATAAGGACTGAGCTGGCAAAGGAAAGGGGGAGAGATGTTCTGGAAATGAGGACATTTCTAGCTGAAGACTCCAAAAGAGGAGATGAGCCTAGAGCATGCTTAGAATGCTAAAGTGGCAGATGGAGGAGGAAGCCCACAGTCCTCCAGGAGATAAGTTCTAAACGAAGGTCACGTTAGGGAAAAGATGGACAGAAAAGGTCGGAATGGATGAGCCTAGCACCGAGTACCTGAAAAGGGAAGATGTACAACATTTCAGTGAGAATCCTTTAGATTTAAGACAGTAGATGTGGATGGAACCTAAAATAGGAAAGTGCATTTTAAACCTGATAGCACAATGTGGAGAAAGGCTAGAGCATATAATTGGAACACACATATTCTAGAATGGAGACTGCCCCTGGGAGGAGAACGGAATCTAGAACAATGCCAAGGATGTGGCTGGAACCTAGAACACACCTAAAATAGAATTTTAGCAGAGAATAAGCAAGTACTGGTTTCTAAAAATTCAGAACACATGTGAAGAGAAGGTGGGATCAGAATTTGGTTTGGGGACATTATCAAGACATTTGAATTCCCCTGGGGAAATGCATGCCTAGAATTTAGCATCTAACCTAGAATTGAGAACATACCGTGGGCAAAAACAGAAGATATTGACTGAGAGCATTCTAAGATTTAGAAAGAACCTAGAACATTGCAAGGGCACAGTTTAACTGAAAATACAGAAGACAATAGGTAGGTTCTGAGTCATCTAATGAACCTAGGTCACAGAACACATCTAGAGGAAAGCGTGTATGTTTGGTTCATCAGCCTGAGAAGGTATACACAGAGGATGGGACATCATGACACAAATATCATGGTAGGGTGCTCGAAACATCTCAAGAAGAGAGAATATCTGGGAATAGAGAAGACAAAGCCCAGGGAGCACAGTGCCTGATATGATATGGGGATGAGGCAGGGATTTGTTAAGGACACTAAAGTTGTCAAGTTGATGGGGGACCTGGTTCCCTAAGAGTAAGAGCTAATGGGCTGATACTTGGTGGGGGCCTGGAGTCCTGAATCGTTGTGGAGATAAAGGACAGTGAAAGCTTGGAGCCTGAGTCCTTGTTGGGAAGGAGGGTTGTGGCAGATGGCTTTGGTGGGCAACACAGAAGCTGGGTTCTGAACTCCTTGGTCCCTGAGGGGATGCAGGACCAGGGACAAAGCATCTAGGTCTCCAAAGGGGAAGGTGGGCAGAAGCTAGAGAATTGCATTAAAAAATTGCATTCCAAGCCCCTGAAAGGGAGAGTGTCATGGTGCCTGAATCCCTAACCAGGCAGATACTGGGATGTGGGGAGGCTGGGTATATTTGCCTGAGGGGCACAGTGGCTGTTGAACTGGGTCTCTAAAGGGGGCAAGAGCTGGGTGAACTGGATTCCCAGGTCCTGAGCAGGTGGGGGTTACCAGCTGGGGCCTTCAGCTAGACGGAATGAGCACCAGCAGGGCTTCCAGAGACAGGTGGGAGCTAGATCCCTGGATGCCAAGGTCCCTAAGGTGGACGAGGAAGGAACATTCAGAATCCCCGACTCCTCAAGAAGCAGCTGGGGTCCCAGAAACCTGGGGCACTGAGGACCGGCCGGGAGGCTCGCCAGCGGAAGCCTGAGGCTCGGGCGCCCGGGTTGGAGAGGCCCCGGGTATCTCCGGGTCAAAGGCGCGGCGGGGGGTATTCCCCCCGGCGCCGCAGGCGCCCCCTCCCCGGCAGCAGGAGCAGCAGGAGGTGGGGGAGGTGAGGCTGCCGAGTGCGCTGACCATGGACAGCTCCAGAGCGGGCCTGTGTCCAGGGCGGCTGCCGAGCCGGCCTGGACCGAGGGAGGAGGCTGGCTGTTCAAGCCGGAGGCTGGAGATGGGCAGACCGGGTGCACGAATAGGGGACTATGCACACCCGACGGGGGGCAGCTGGCCCTGGCTGGGGGTCTGACACAGCTACAGCAGGTGTCTGGAGCTCCCGGGAATGGGCCGAGGAGGAGGATGTAGGTCCAGAGGGGGCTGCCGGGCTGAACTGGGAAATCCAAGCTCCTGGGCCCTGGACGAGGCGCCAGGCGGCAGTACGCCTGGGATTCTAGGGTTCGGTTGGGGACTCTGAGAGCCGGGAGGGGCACGCCTGAGTCTCTGGGGTTGAGCTGTGAAATCTGGGCTCCAGAGCCCCCGGGGATAAAGAAGGCAGTCCAGGATCTCGGGAAGGAGAGGGAGGCTCGGCGAGGGGTCCCCGGGGTGGGCGCTGCCAAGCGGGCTGGGCCGGGCTCTTACCTACCTGGTCCGCGGCGGTTGCGGGCGGAGCTGGGCTGCAGGAGGGACGTGGGGTGGGGTGGGGGTACCGGGCGGGGCCCCTGGCGGCAGCCGGGGCCCGGATCTGTGGCTCCGGAGCCCTGTCTCCGCCGCTCGCGCGGGCTCCGCGTCTCTGGCTCCGGCTTGGGCGCTGGGGACCCCCCCTCCCCCTCACGGTCTCACAGCCCTCTACCCTAAAATAGCCCCCTGCCCCTATCACCGTTCAGCCTCCCCCCCCACGAGGCCGCAGCCGCCAGATCCAGGGGTGCCCACCAGCGCCCCCCAAATCCCACCTCCCCCCAAAAAAAATTCCTCCTCCCTCCCCCCCCCAATAGCTCCCGTGCGGTCGTGGCCCCTTTAACAGGAGACTGACAGACGGCTTTGAATGGCCAATGGGAGACGTAGTCGGAGCCGGCCGGCGGCTAAACCCCGCCTTCGCATGGACTGGGAGGGGTCGCGCGGGCGGAGAGCGGAAGGCGGAGCTCAAGGAGCGCCGGCCAATAAGTGCGCGGCGTGAGGCGGATGGGGTGGGAGGCGGAGCCCGGCAGGGGATGATGTCACCTGGAGCTAGTGGCGCGCGGCGTGGAATGCGAGTTGCGACCCCAGATCCCGGAGGTGGCGTGCGCCGGCCCTAGCGCCGCACGGGACGCGAGGGCTGGACCGCCGGTGAGGTGGGAGTAAAGGTTGGATTTTAAGGCGGGGGCGGCTCCCGGAGCCACGCGCTCAGGCTGGAAGGTGGGGTGAATGCCGGGTCGGCGGGTGCACCTTTTTCTGCACCCCCTGCGTCCACCTCGGGAACTGCACACGGCACCCCCACCCCGCACGCTGATGATAGTACGGCCTGCAGGGCTCCCCTTCCGAACGAAGCTAATGGTTCGCTCCGCCCCGCCCACACAGAGGCCGCCCACCGGCTCTGCAGCTTCGCAGGACTCCTCCGTCAGACCAACTACAGAAGGCGCTTGGCCTTCGCCCTCAGTCTCTCTTCAAGGCCAGGGGGCGTTGTCTTCGGTTGCGACCCCGCACTTGGACCCAAACAGGGTCCCAGCCTCGGCCTTGGACTTATGCCTAGGAAGCCGGCCAGCCTCCCGCTTCAGACCTTGGGGGAAAGTCTCTACCTCTGCTCTCAGACTCTGAAAAGCGTTTCTTCCGGGCCTGCTCTAGACTTCAGCTTCTCTCCCTCTCCCACATCCCAAGACACTCTAACCCCAGGATGCAGGACAGACGCACAGACACTCAGTGAGGGTCAAAGATCTTTAAATAAGGAGCCGGTGACAATAAATACTGTACAGGGGAGGGGGCGGGGTGAGGGTCCAAACACTGTGGTTTCAGCCTCGAGACTCCAAGGACCTGCAAAGAGGGTGAAGAGATGGGAGCCAAGCTCAGGGGAGGGGACCTGGGGAGGCTTGGGAGAGAACCAGGCCTGGGGTTCCAGAGCCAAGGGCCCAGGGAAGTGGACTGAGGGATTCCAGAGAGTAGGCTGCAGATCTCGAATTGACAGTGAGCTGGGAGTCCCCATGGGATGTAGCCAGAATGGCTTGTGAGAGCCTGGGTCAGGGTCAAGGGTCAGAACCCCAGGGAGAGGAGCCAGGGCTGGGGGTAGCCATGAAGGTCCCAGAAATCACTGGCCTGGCTTGGGACTCGGGATAAAGGAGGCAACAGAGGCCCCAGGGGTGTGGTGGCAAAGGGCTCACGAGTAGCTCTGGTGCTGCTGGCGCCGGCGGGCAGAGCGCATCTTCTCGAAGCGGGCCTCCATCTCCTCCAGCACGCGAGGTGTGTAACGCACCACCAGCTTCACCGAGCCCTGGGCTGCCTTCAGGAGCTCCACTGCCTTCTCGTGCTGCTCACCCTCAACGCTCTGCAGGGCAGTGCACAGACACCTGGGCCTGGGGCCTACCGCCCTCCCCCAGCCCCAACCCTGGAAATGGGACCTACTGTTGGTGAGCCTGGTACCAGCCCAAGAGGTCAAGGCCTCGTGGCCTCAGGGGAGAGTAATTATTCTTAGCTCAGTGTCCTCCCTCAAAACCTTCCAAGTTCATGTCGGGGACAAGCCCTATCTGCCCTCCCTCACTAAGCCAGAACTCTAGGTCCATCTTTATCCCCCTCCGTCCCCAAAGCCTGCTAATCCTAGCCCTCTCCCTCTTGCTGATTCCCTCCTCTTTGTCCCCACCACCCTGGCCCCAGCTCAGGCCTCCTCCTCTCCCTGGTCGACTTTTACCTAGCCTTCTCCCTAGAACTTTCTGGCCTCCAGTCTCTACCTTCAGTCCGTCCCCTGTAGAGTCCCAAAGGGATCCTTCTACACCTCCAAGCTGAGCCTATCCATCTCCTCTTCACAGCCTTCCCAAGGCTCCCCAGAACCCTTGAGACAAAGTTCCAACTTCTCAGGCTGGCCCTCGGGCCCTGCGTAGCCGACCCCCACTACCGATCCATCTGTGCTGTGTCTACTTCCAACTGCAGTGATTTTAATTAACCACGTGCTCCACTCCTCCACTAGACCTAAGCCCTTTCTGTACAGCTCAGAGGAGTGCAGAGTCCCAGCCCCTACCTACAACACCCTTAGCTGCTAATACACTTCTCTACCTTATTTGCCTGGAGAACTCCTCCTCATCCTTCAAAACCCAACTCAAATGTTCCTTTCCCTGCAAAAACTTCCCTCATCTACACTGGTCTGGTGAGAGCCACATTTGGGCTTCTGTACTGGTTTGTGCTTCCTCATTATGATCTCCCCAGATTAGGACTATTCCAGTCAATTCCCCTCACCAAGAAGGGAGTCCTTGGACATAGGAGCTGAGGCAAACTTCTTTCAGGATCTGTAGTGGCGCCCAGCACGCAGTACTCTATCGTTGCATGTTGAATGAATGTGAAAAGCAGGGACTGTGCTACCTGGAACAGACTGTGAGCCCAGCCTCAGTCCCCACTCACCACACCATTCACTGACAGCAGCTGGTCCCCACGCTTGAGGCCTCCATGGCGGTCAGCCACACCTCCAGGGATGACACGGGAAATGTAGATGGGGGAGTTCTGCTCCTTGCCCCCCATGATGTTGAAGCCCAGGCCCTCATCTGTTTTGGGCAGCTCCACTACCCTGGGATGTGCGTGGCCCTCGCTGGCTGTGAAGGCAGCCACTGTGGCCTGGGGGAGAGAAAGCATTGGGAGGTGAGGGCCATTCCATGGCTGGGGGCGGGGGGGGGGCAGGCGGGGTGAGGGGGGAGGATCTGGGCCAGGGAGAGCAATTTGGATCAGATCGCTTTCCCCACACAGGGGACACCTGCCACAGTTCAAACAAGCTTGCACTGTAATGAATCTCTCTTAATTCAGTCTGGATGCTTCAGACATGTCGAAGAGAATGTCTCCATTTGGTGTGAGTGTACCTTCAGTAGTCAACTCTTGCCAATCTCAATTTTTAATAGAGAAAAACAAGGGCTGGAAGAAGCTGAGAGCCTCCATGAAGCAGCAAGAAACAGCATACAACTAGAGTTTGATAAGATTTCAGTGTTTCATGCTATTTCATTATGTAGGTGTTAAAAGGTATCTTCAGGGGCGCCTGGGTGGCTCAGTGGGTTAAAGCCTCTGCCTTGGGCTCAGGTCATGATCTCAGGGTCCTGGGATGGAGCTCCACATCAGGCTCTCTGCTCAGCGGGAAGCCTGCTTCCCTTCCTCTCTCTCTACCTGCCTCTCTGCCTACTTGTGATCTCTGTCAAATAAATAAAATCTTAAAAAAAAAAAAGGTATCTTCATGTCAGGTATGCGGCACTAGTTTCCATTTGAAGTTGCTAAAGATGCCTTTAAATGACATTTAAGTACAACTTAAGAGATTATAATATCAGTAAATAATAGTAACAAAAGCTGGTACATAGCTTTGGCAAAAATCATGTAGGAAGAAACAGGCATGACTGACTTTAGGAAGTTACTAAGCTAGACCAGGCAGTTCGGTAGATACCATGAGTGATGGCGTAGGGGGCACCTACCTTGGCTGTGGCGTGGGCCCGGATCTCAGCACTGCCCGTGATGTCCAACGTGTCGTAGAGCTGCTCATACACCTGGTAAAGACGCCGTAGAGTCAGAGAACCACCAGGGGGGCTCCCCTTCTCCCTTCAGCAGAGTCCAGACCCGCAGATCCTCCCACCCAAGGATCGGCCCCGCCCCCCGCAACCCGGAGCCCAAGGAAACTACAACTCCCGAAGAACCCCGGGCTGAAGCGCGGGCACCCCAAGGCGGGCCGGCCCAGCCGCTGCTGGGAGGCGTAGTCCCTGGGCTCTGGGCAACGACTGGGACAGCGGCCGCCCGCTTGTGTCCGGCGCCGCGCTGTTCTCACCTCCCGGATGGCAGAGCAGAAGCGGCTCTGCAGGACTCGCTGGAGGGCCTGCAGCTTCTGCGGGGGCAGCTCCCCGCTGCGCTGGAGCCGCTCGAGGAGCTCCACCGCCCGGGACACGTCTGCGGGGCGGGGGCGGGGCGCAGAGACAGAGTCAGAGACTCGGATAAGCACGGAGCGCTGCGGCCAGAAACCGAGTAAGGGCGAGCGCTGACAGATCCCGGGAAAGACAGCCGAGTCCCAGTAGGACACCCGCAGAGTCGTCGGGGGCAAAAGAGACTGCGGCCGCAGCCCTGCGCCCCCGGATCCCCGAACGCACACAGGAAGGGCTGTGCGGTGGGCGCCGCTCCTGGGCCCGCTAAGCCCACGGACCCTCCCACACCCACAAACCGCGGCGCCCCCGCCCCGCCCACCCCCGCTCGATCTGCCCGCCCACCCGCCGGGGCTTCGCCGTGGAGGGGCGGGGACCGGGGTCCCGGACACGGGCCGCGGCCGGTGGGCAGGGCCCCCTGGCGCCCTTACCCCGCTCCAGCCCCAGCGGCTCCACCAGCGCAGCCATGTCTGCGCCGCCGCCGCCGCGAGCCGCCCGCCTGCCCGGTCTCCGGCGAGGGGGGCGGGGCTGCTCGAGGCCACGCCCCGGACGGCGGGCGCCCCCTGCGGGGGCGCGGCCCAACGTGCGCTTGGATCCCGGCGCCGCGGTCGCCCCACCTGCTGCCACGCCTGTCTGGCGGCCCAGCCCACGGTCGCCAACCGTCTGTCCGCTTTGCGACCCCTCCTCTTGCAGCTTGTGTGTACCTCCTTCCGTTTCACTGCCCTGCCCGCCACACCTGTCTCTCCGCTTTCTCTTTGTACCACGTTCATCGAACAAACGTTGTTAAACATCTGGACACAATGGTGAGCAGGGCAGACAAGCCCACTTCCCTTAAGGAATTTAGTCTATGAGGAGGGGAGGTAGACTACCAACTACGGCTGTGATGAGAAATCAGGAGTGAGGAGGTGTTCTAGGGCCACTGACCTAGTCCTTGGAGGGAAGATCATCGGGAGGTGGGGCGCGAATCATTTTCCAGCAGAAAGAGCCCACGAAGTAAAAACTAGAGTGGCTTGTGAGGGTGAGAAGGTAGGCAGGATCCAGGTTATACACGACCTTGGTTTTAGCATACACAGGACGACCTTGGACTTCATGGTAACCCCTAAGAGTTAAATGTGATATTCAAATGCGTATTTTAAGATCCGTGTAGCCAGAGTGTGGGGACTGGATTGGATGGCAGCAACAGAGGAAGCAGGGGGACCAGCGATTAAGGCTCCCCCAGCAATCCTGTGATGGCTTGGAGGAGGTCAGGAGACAGGAAGGACAGCTGGACAGATGTGGAAATGTCTGGCCCTGTCTTAGTGATCGGCTGTGTTCATTAGCTGGCGGCAAGGTAATATACAACAAAGAGGACCTAGGGCTGAGTTCCTGAAACTTCTACCGTTTCAAAGTTAGGAAAAAGACAAAGAATGGCAGGAAAGTGGGAGGGAAACCGGGTGGGAGGAACTGTTAAGAGAGTGCTTTCAAAAAAGAAGTGGGCAGTGGTAACACATACGCTAGAGAGGCCAGAGAAATGTAGGAAAGGTGGAGAAGATTGTGGAGAAGGCTGGCTGTTGCCCATCAGCAGGATTAGCTGGGTGGGGAAATGGAATCCTGAAAAGGACTTTTGCCAAGTGAGAGGACTAGAGCAGGTATGTCTATCCCTCTCCGTAGTATCTTTCTCTCGTTTTAACAAGTTTAATGAAAACAAAATCAAACACAGAAGGGCTAATATCGAAAAGCATGTCCTAAGTCTCCCCGCTGCAAGAGGCAACAACTTAGAGATGTTTTGCTTATATATCTAAGTAACCTGTTTCTCAATTCTAGGTGTTGGTAATATATTATGTATTGATTTTCTGCTCTTACAACCTTTCCGCTCTCTTCCCACGGTAGTTTTATGCTACCAGTTTTTAGGACAATCAATAAAGTGCTCACATGGTAAGTACTGTTTACTAGAGGGCCTAGGAGTGTTCTGTGATTACATTTCCTTTCCTGAACAGCTTTATTCCTGCAACTTCAGTCTGCTTTTCTTCCATGACATTCCCAACTTTTCAAACTTTCCATCACAACATATTTTATTCAGTCCTTTTTAGCCAGGTTTACGGGGGAATAATTGACGTGCATCACTGCAGCAGGTTAAGGGGTGCGTACAGCACGATGGCTTGGTATACGTACCTCGTGAAATGATAAATGCCATCCATTCAGCGACTGAACCTTCTTTATTCTGAAAGTCCTTGGGAACCTGAGTCAGAGCCCTGACTCCAGCCTGGACTAACCGCTCTCTAGAAACTGCCATCCCGGGGTTTTTTCCCCTCGCTGCTCTGAAATGGATCCTGTTTCCTCTCCTGTAAACCCCTTGTTTTGGTGACATGTATCTTTAACTTCCTTAAGAGATTGTGAGGTTCCTCTTAACTTTTGAGAAAGTTTGTCTCTTTTCCCCGTTAGAACTTCTAATGTGTTGTTAACAGAAACATTTTGGGTTATGTAGTATATGAACTGCAAAATGCACCTAAATTCTTAATTTATTTTCAGTTCTAAAGTTTGAAAAAAATTTTTTTTTCTTTTAAAGATGGCAGATCTCTTCAAAGCTCTCCATCCTTTCCTTGTTTCGTGAACCTGTGGTTATTTCACTCTCCGGTAACTCCCAACAGCAGAATGCCTGGGTCTGTTGGCTACTTTTCCCTTGGTTTTCAGCAACTCAGGTCTTCTTTCTAGAATACCTAATGGTTTTTGAGTAAATGCTGAGCACTGTGTACTAGAAATCACAGAGGCTCTTGAATTAGATCTTCCCCCAGAGGGCTAAGTCCTCTCCCAGCAAGGACATCACCTGTAATCCCGATGGGTCCAGTTTCAGATCTCCACGGAGATCTCCCGCACGGCCACCGCCAGTGCAAGTGTGCGAGTGGCTGCTGCCACCTCTGCTCAGCTCGCTAGCATCCAGCTACTGCTTTCTGATGAGCCCTTTGTGGGCAGGTCTTACACGGACAGCAAGCAGTTTAGCAGCTGGCAAATGTTTTGAGGGAAGGCCGCCCATGGAACTGGGGGCTCAGCGGCCCATCTGGAAATTCTGCCCTTAAGTCCAACCTGTGCGGTCTAACCTGTGTGAATTCAACTCAGCGGACTGCCACTTTCTGAGTCTATTCCCCTAGGTTCAAGTGGCAAATGCCCTCGGGGAACAGGGGAGGGCTAACAGGTTCACCGGTGTGCTTTCCTTTTCTTAGGCATCACCCTCTAGCCAAGCTCCCCAGTACCTTCTGCGGATTTTGTCCGGGCTTCGTGTAACATGCCTGTGCCACGCTAGCCCCAAACCCTGCTCTTCACGGCCAATTCCAGAAGCGCAGGTGCAGTATCTGGTATATCTATGAGCATATACTAACTAGAGGCACGGAGTTCTCTTTTAGTCCCTAAATTCTTCCTTCCAGAACCAGTTTTTTCATTTAGGTTGTGGTCTCCTGCTGCAGGATTTTCTCCATTGGCTGTCATTTTTGCACGGTTAGGTAGAATGAGGCAGTTAAAAACCATAATCCTTGTGTCAGTCGGATTTAGCGGACAGGCCACCTCTGGGTTACCAGACCAAGTTTACCTATAGACTGAGAAAATCCTCAGACACAAAAATAGGTCCTGTATTTGCCTACGCAGAAAATGCCCAGCTCCGAGGCATCCCGAGGGCTGAAACGGAGGACAGCCATTCCAGGCAGCGATTCTGGAGTTTGCTACACTCGTACTTGCAGCTGTGGTCTCGAGCCCCTCTGGGGTTCTGTGAGGCTCACTGGCTTCCTTCTCAAGGGGTCACCAGCCTGACGTGTCCTCACCCTCCGGAAATGGCCGGAATCTCAATTGCTGATGGCAGCTCTCCGGGTCGCTCAACCCTCCACTGACACCGGCAGCCAGAAGTAAAAATACTCATGAACTTGCTACCATTAACCACAGGCCCTTTGCATTCCCCACCTTGTGCAGCTGCTCTGTGGCACCCCATCTTGTCCCTCTGCAGCTCGTGCTCCTCGTTCATCTCCTCAGCCTTTCCCTGCTCTCCCAACTCCGGCAACAGCTTCCCTTTCACGCAGACCTGCGGCTCTCACTGAGCAATAGTGTCTGGAGCCCCACCTGGCCACCAAGACAAAGGCAGGGATGGCCCCACAGGGAATGTGTGGCAGACATTAAAAAAAGAGGAGGAAGGAAATCACAAAGCGACCAAAAATCCTAATGGAGGGAACCCTTAGAGAACACCTCCTTATCCCATTTTTAGCAGGCCTGGTGTAGTGTGGGTAGGTCCAGCCTTAGGTCGTCATAAAGCCCAGGTCCTTGGCAGGCCCTGGGACACAAACCAAAGTGGGGCTATCAACAGTCAGGTGACGACCCTGGTGGGGGAAATACAGGAAGAGCAGTGAAGAAACCAAGGTGCTCATTATCAACAGGAAATTAATTTTATTTTTAAATCTGAGGGGCCTGAACAAATAAGGAGACTCCTACCCTTGGCTGGCAAACTTGGGTGGTGGCCAAGGTCAGGGGAGAGGATGACAGCAGGGGGTGGGTAGGAACACGTCCAAAACAAAACAGGGGGAGGCCCTCATCACTCTGGTGCGGCCTCCATCAAATACCCGTTCTCCGGAGCAAGATACCCATCACCTCCCTCAGATTCCATGTACATGTCTCGGCTTTCGTTGCCCAGACCCTCCAGCCCGTTGTCCTGGCCGCCACCACCCCCACCTCGGGACTCATCCCTGCCCCGTTCGCCACCCCGCTCCCCCCGCTTGTGCTCGCGATCCCGGTCTCGGTCTCGGTCCCGACGCCGCTCCCGCTCGCTCCGGTGGCTCCGTCGTCGTTCCCGGTCACGATCCCGGCCCTTCTCCTCTGGACCATCAGGGCCGTCAGGACCCAGCTCCCCAGGAGGCCCATCGTCAGGAGGCGCATCGCCGGCCTCAGAGGGCTCTGCCATGTCACCACCACCTCCGCCACCACGCAGCTCCTCCTTGCGCTCCCGCTCCCGTCGTGCCCGCTCCCGGCTCCGGCTACTTCGTCGCTTTCGTTCCCGGTCCTTGTCCTTGCTACGCTCCCTGGAGCGCCTCCGCTCCTCCTTGTCGCGACTCCGGGAGCGCCGCCGCCGGTCCCGAGAGCGGGAGCGTCGCCGTTCTCGCTCCTTGTCTCGCTCGCGGCTTCGTTCCCTGCGCTCCCGCTCGCGGTCCCGGTCCCGGTCCCTGTGGGGCAGCGGGGAGGGGCCGGGCCTGGATGAGGTGGGCAGAGGTTTGTGGCAGGGCTCCCCCACGTGACCACCCCCATCCCAGGATACCGGCTGCCCAATCTTACCTCTCATCATAGCGGGAAGTATCGTCCCGGCCGGAATGCCGGATGTTCACGTCGGCCCCGCCTCTTCTGGTCCCACCGAGGCCACCTCCTAGGGTGAGAGCAGGCCAGAGAGCGTCAGTCTGGGCAGAGCGCTGAGGGAAGGGAAATGGGCATCGAAGAGCGAAAGGAAGGACTGCAGCCACACTAGGAGAGCCACGCCTTACAGACACGTGA